ATGATCATGTTTTCCCAACAATTACATGATTATAATATGAATGTCGGTTAAGTTATTTTTAGTTTATTATATTTTTTAGTTGAATAAATACATCCGGTTTAGTAGTTTGAACTCCTTTTTTATCTAGTTAATTATATGGTTTGATGTTATGTTGATACCATTTCTAGCCATTTTAGTCTTGTTATAACCCAACGTTTGCTTCTTAACCCGATTCATGTTGGTCGTGCTTGAATTAGGGTTAGTTCATTCTCGTTATTCAATTTGTAAAATCCATAATTATTTTATGAATTGATGCTAAATGATACACATCGAGTTGGTTCTGTGGTGAGATTAACTTTGATGTAAACTAAAATAGTATGTTTTTACGCTTTCGAGTTTGTGAGAAGTATTTAACGTTGTTGGAAACATTCGAAAAAAACTTAATACGATCTTTCAATCTATTTCTAAGAGTTTGTTTAGAGTAGGTTAGTAAGGTTAGGTTTAATTCAAACTTCAAAAAGCTTGTTTTGATCAAATAATTTGGTGAATGAGAGATGCTAGAGCTTGTTAGTATCTTCAAGTACCAACTTAGATTAGAATTTAATTTGACATCGATTCATTATTAGCTTGCATCATTAGGAGAATAGAATTCGAAACCGGATTGTTTTATTTTTGTTTCTAGTTTTCTTTTATCACATTTCATTTTAGTTTACTCGTTTTCAAATTCCTTGTATTTAGGGGTCATTTGTTTCGTTTGATTCCTAAGGAATTGAAAGGAATTGGAAACTAAAATCCAATACAAAACGTGTTTGGCTTATAGAAGGAATGGAATATGATTTCCATAATTACTTTTTAATTCTGTGTATGAAAGATTTCCCATTCATTCCATGTGTATAAAGGAATCCACATTCTGTTAGCTTATCTTTTTTTTTTAATTACACAATTATCCTCCCATATATATGCGATTCTGGTAAAACAAAATCATCTATGTGATTTTTCATATCTTTTCTACGATTACCTTATTGTATCGATTATATATATCTCCAATCGGTATTTGTCAAAAAAAAATTCATCTATCGATCATAGCTATTGTGCTGCCATTGTGATTCCCGAAATTTCAAAAAATGCAGTCATTGAGTACCTTGGATAGGTTCAAAGTAAGTAGGAAAATAATGCGTGATCCGGAAACCGTGTTAAGCTTTTGGAATTTGGAAGTAGAAGATCGGGAGGATTTTGTGAGGCTCATGTTGGAAGAGTGATATGATTATGAACTAGGTATTTAGACAACATTTTACGTAGTATGTTGATAACTTTTTTTAATTTAATATTATGAATAATGAATGGCTTTTTTCCTTTATCTTATTATATACAATCATTTTGCTTCAATTTATATATATATATATATATATATATATATATATATATATATATATATATATATATATATATATATATATATATATATTATTTGTAGGTGTTCAACGAAATACAGGTTAGTTATTTTTTTAATTTATATTTTGTAATATAGTTCAATAAAAAGATGTTGTAATTAAATAAAACTTTGTCTTGTTTATTAAAAAATATAAAGGGTATTGTTGTCATATTATAAAATTTATTTCCTAATTCCTTTGTAAAATCAGCAAATTAAACAGAAAACAGATTTCATTCATTGTCCTCCAAACGCATTTCAGCTTCTAATACATTTAGATTCCAATTCCTTCAAATTCCAATTCTTTTGACAGATTCCATTCCTTTAAAAAATATTCTGCGAAACAAATGCCCCCTTACTTTTTTATGGATTGGAATAAAAAATCATGACTATTTTGGTTTATTTACTGAATAGAACTAAGTCTCTGAGGATCGACCCTATTTGCCACTATTACTATTATTTTTAAATCATTTAAGTGCAAATTAGAATTATTGTTTGTTGGGTTTGACAACCTATCACATGGACGTCTACTTATTAAATAAGCGAAGCTCCGCCAACTCCAAAATAGACTTTACGACTCCCGGAATGATCTAATTCCAAATTTGGTGGTCATATTTCTAAATTTAAAGAAAAATAGTCATTTTTATTAAAACAATGATTAATTTATTTAATTATTAAAGAAAATAAAAGACAAACTAAATAAGTTTTTTTTTTAATATCTAAAACAAGAGATGGATAAATATGTAATTATTTAAAGTTTTTTTTAGAGTAAGTTACAAATTTAGTCTTTGTTGTTATGTAATTATTTTGAAGCAAGTTTTTTTTAAATTTGCATGTGGACAGTCCTTAAAAGTTGTTTTTGTCACGAGAATGATCCTTGTTGAAATTATTAAATTACCCTCATTGGTTTTTTTACTGTTATATATATATATATATATATATATAATATATTATATATATATATATATATATATATATATATATATATATATATATATATATATACTTTTATAAATGAATGGCCCACCACTAAATCTCACCCTTCACCCTACCCATGCCTTTCATTCTCGCCTAACCAATACACCCTCCGACTACCAATTTCTTCTTTGGGGACCATCGTCTGAGAAGACGAACCCTACTTTCTCCAACTACCGCCCCGCCCCTCTCCTCACTATACGTTTCCTAACCAGTGTTCCCATCATGTAATCTACCACATGTCATCACTTCAACCACTGTCTACAAACCACTAGTGACCTTTCTCAACCCCTCTTTTTCCATCTCTCCAAAACCATATATTTCTCGAACATGTTTTGCAACCAAAGAGAAATTTGAACATGTTTCTACAGCTAAAAATAAATCTAGTTCTTGAATTTTTTTGTGTAATATCAGTTTTGTGAAGAAATTATAACAAACAAAAGGATAAATAATCAAGTCTGCAACTAGGGGGCTCATGCCACCACCATTGCAACAACACCACCGACGCCACTATCTTGCCCTTTTTATTCCTCAATCGATATTTCCCTTCCCCCTTCTTCCAAACTCGATCTCAAAATTATCTCCCTCTCACTCTCCTGATCTCGATCTCTATTCCTTATTTTCTTTCCTAATATGTGACAACCACATACCTTCTCGTCGTCCTTCCTCGTTGTAGAAACAAATCAAATGGTTTATAGGGGTTTGGATGTCTTTATGTATAAAGGAACCCATGGAGGCTTTTATGGAGATGGAGTGAATGATGGTAAGTAGATTCATAGAAGGGATAAGAGAAACATGCTTACATCAAGGTAAAAAGGAAATGGGTAGGGTAACAATTCTTGACCAAGCGACACGAACCGATACTAAAATAAACGGGTTTGGGACTGAAAATTAAATTCTTTTGAGAGTAATTTAGTAATTTCATATATGTCAAGGACCATTCAAGTGACAAAAACAAACATTAAGAATTGTAAACGTTCAAATTAAAAACTTGGGACTTAATTCAAAATATAATAACCATAGGGATTATTTTTGTAATTTACCTAAAAAAAACTATATGTTAACTTGTTCCGAACGCTTTAAAAAAAGAAAAACTTTGTTTTTTTGTTAGGTTTTACCTTGCAATTTAACAAACCAAGTGGTGTTCCCGAGTTCAACTTAACGAGAGAGAGGAAAGGAAATGAGAGGAAATGAGAAAAAAATAAAAGAAATTGGTGTTCCCGAGTTTCATTAAAGGAGAGAAGTGGAAGGAAGTGGAGGGAAATGGAAGGATCAATTTCCCTCCTAACTTTCCTTCCGATTTTGGGAGGATTTGAAAAGAAAGAACAAAATGATTCATTTTCCTTCCACTTCTCTTTAATTCGGGAACACCAAAGAAAATTTTGTTTTTCTTTCCTTTCTTTTGTTTTTCTTTCTTTTCTTTTCTTTTCTTTTCTTTTCTTTTTTCTGGTGACTTTCTTTTTTCTCTTCTTTTCTTTTGTTAAACTCGGAACGAGGCTTACAAGCAACCCAGGAAATTCCGCGAAAGTTGACCCTGAAAGGAATTTCTTGCGGGTCTACTGTGAACTGAGAAAAGCCCACAGAGTAGGGCTCGTTTCACACCTTCACTCCGATCATTCGTCAATTCTATGAGGTACGCCGATCACGATCATGTTCTTCTAACTCCGATTTATCGTCTTTATTTTCGATCACCTCAATTTTTTTTTGGCTAATGTTTTCAAATTCATATTCTAGGGTTTTGATTTGTATGTGTTTCGATATAATTTTAGTCTCTATACTGTGATCAGTTCTTGTACGACTACTTTGCGATTTAATTTTAACGCTAGGGTTTTTACTTCCGTGTTCCTCTGTTTCTTGCCTTTGCCTGCTTTTAATCGCTTCCCTGTTTGGATTATATGCTTTCAGTTAGTTCGATTACTCATACGATGATTCCGTTTTCCTAAATACCTTCCGTGTTTAGGTTTCCTTAAGAGTCTGTTTTCTGAAATTGGCGAAAATTATATGTGGTAAACCTCAACAACTTGTTCTGATTTTACCTATTTTGTGATTGTTGAATGACGAGTGTTACTTGGATTGCATTATTGATGATATTGTGTGTTTAATTCTTGATATCAATTCCTCGATGTTCAATTTCTAAAATTGAGAGGTAATACTAGGATTATAGATCATTTATTGCTAACTATGGTGGATGTTAGGGTTGTTTGAATGTGTGCTTTCAGAATGATTATCACACCTTGAAAAATTAGCATCAAATCGAATCATAAGATGTTGAGATACTCAGACAATTTTACATTTTTCTCAGTAATAAAGTGTTCTTGCAGCAATTCCTTACTGCTTCTCCAAATCTGATTATCTTGATCCTAAGTAATCATAATCAGTTTTTGCCAAACAATCGCTATATGAGTTTTTTTTTTTTTCTTTTACTTAATACAGAAAGAACAATTTAATAAAGAAAGTGTTTTTTACAGTTTTACCCTCATCTATATATATTTCTTCCATTTCTCCATATGTGTTATCATTAAACATCATTTATCCAGACTTTAGTTTACACAGTAAAAGTCGTTTTTCTATTGTTAATTTTGCAGTTTGAGTTGCTGAATTTTTTATTTCAAAGACAATGGAATCCGGTAAAATCCCAAACAAATTTCTCGGAGTAAGAAACAACAAGATCTACATGGACCTAAAGCTCATAATCCGTGAACACGCCCTCCAATTCCTCCCCGCAAAATCCCTCTTCAAATTCCGAGGCGTCTGTCGCGATTGGAAACTCATAATCTCAACTCCATTTTTCGCCCACAACCAATCCCTCTCATTCCGTTCCCTTTCCGGTCTCTTCCTCCAAACCCCCGGAACCCCCTCAACCTTCGTTTCCCTCGACCCCAATTCCGCCGGAATCCCCGATCCCGCCCTCAAATTCCTCCCCGCCCCCACCAACATCCTCGCCTCCTCCAACGGCCTCCTTTGTTGCCAAGCTCTCAGTGGCGACCGTGCGTACTACATCTGCAACCCTGTCACCTCCCAATTCAAAAAACTCCCGAAACCGAGCTTCGACCACGGGCGGGACCCGGCCGTCGTTCTCATCTTCAACCCCTCTCTCCTCAACTTCGTAGCGGAATTCACCCTCGTCTGCGCATTCCGTTCCGCCGACTTCGACGACGGAACGGAATTCGAAATCTATTCCTCGAAAACCGACACGTGGACCGTCTCGGGCGAAATCAATTTCGCCGCGAAGAAACTCGTCCCGAAATCAGGCGTCACGGTGAACGACTGCGCGTATTGGCAAACGTACAACGGTGGGATTTTAGCGTTTGATTTGGTTAAGAACCGGTCTCAAGTGATACACGGGTGTCACTACGGTGGGGCCGGGTGTTTAGGGGAGATGAATGGGAAGCTTTGCAATGGACATGTGAATGGGCATACGATGATTGTGAGTGTGATTTCGAATATTTACTCGAATACGATGCAAATGAGTAGTCACGCGAGGTTATGGGATGATAAAGTGAGGATTCAATTGAGTAATGAGGTTTTTGATGGAAGTGTGAATGATGATTTGTTTTCGGTTTTGCATGTGGAGAGTGATTTTGCGTTGGTTTTGGGGAGACGGAATGTTTATCGGTTTGATTTGAAGACAAAAGAGATTAAGTTTGTGGTTGAGGCTGCGCAGTTTGATCGGAAGGGGAAAGGGATACCATACGTGAATAGTCTTGTCGCGCTTTGAGAGGGGTATTTTGGACTTTTGGGAAGTGGTATTGACATAAGACATAAGTGCATGATGAAGATTTTTTAGAAACTTTTACTTGCTTTTGTGTTGCATGGACTTTGAGACTATTTGAATTTCTAGTATTGGTCCTTTTGATATGATATCTAGTATCTACCTTGTACTTTGTACTTTGTTTTGCTTGGCGTGTATTGGACTAAGACAGATAGTCTGGTAGGTTCCGGTCCAACATGAGTATAATAGACTATTCTGTCTATCTTTTAACTTGGAAAGAGAGCTGATGTCAATGAAATAAAATTTGTGGTTTTGTCAAACACAGTATAATAGATAGTCTTTGCAATATCTCTTATATGTAAAAGACGTAAACGCTCTACTAGTTATAAGTTGTAACAAAATGGAATGAGTCTCAACTTTGAATTCTTTTTAACCTTCAACCTTAGAATGACTAGCGGTTCAAAAAAATAACGGATGTTAAACATCAATATGACATGCTTGTAGGAGTATTAAGTGGTTTATTTGGATTCACTTTTGTTTGGAGATATAAGCCAAAACGTTTTACTTAGTTTTATTTTTTTGGAATCAAAATGAAACTATTTATTGTGTTACAACAACAAAATCCCAAGTTCCAGAAGAATAGTAAAAAGGAGGTAAGATGGTTGGCAACCTTTTCCAAATAAGACATTCGGCTAAAAAATGAGTAGTTAAAGTAAAGTGAAAAAGGCAGAGCCAGCTCGTTGATCTATTATCTTCTACAAATTAAATGTTAGACGTTAGTCCACCATCAAACAATATAAAAAAGTGAAGTTACATAAATTAAAATAGTTCATGATCCGTGGTTAAGGACTACACTGAAAAAGAAGGAATAAATAATACAAACTGGGAATAAGTTAAAGTAGAGGTAACATATAAACAACAATAAATGCGAATAGTAGCAGTAACGCATGAAAACACACAATAAACATAATTGTTAATTCAACTTAATCATACTTCATAATTTAAATCAAATTATAAGCACCGTGAATCACAATATTGAAAGCATCAATGACTATTTTTATCCGATTAATTTGAATGAGAGTATAGAAATGACATGACAGATGGTTAGATTTGCCTTCCATGCGAGAAAATCACCATGTCCTTATAATCTCATTTTGAAGATGATGACCCGGAACAAAATTAAAAAGAATTACTATACATATAGAGTAGACAAAAGAAAAGGGTTTATGTTCAACATAGAACTAGCTTCATTCATGAGATTTGTTATGGGAGTTACAATTATAGGGATGTCAAAAAGTCCCGTGGGACCCCGTTTCGTTGCAGAAACAAAAATGATGGTTAATGTTTAACTTAGAAATATGTTCATTCAACTTGAAATCGCGCACCACATATCGCAAAGGTCTTATAAAAGGATCACAACTTTATTCATTCATCACAAATTAAGTAATGCATCATGGCACTTATGTTATTCTTCTTTTGGTCTTATGCTTTTAGTTGTACATAGTCACGAAGATCTTGTTTGTTTTTCTGCTTAAAATGTTCTTTTTCCTGATTTCGTTGCAGAAACAAAAATGATGGTTAATGTTTAAGAAATTAAAAGTTGTTCAACCATCGATGTCATAATCAATATTAAGTTATAATTATTAGCCGAAGATATCATTCCTCATATTAAGGAAGTATTGTTATAGTTGATAGACCTTATCTTTATTGTAGATAGCGATAAGATATTGTATAAATGCCAATTGTAAATCATTGGAATGAGAAGGGGGGAAAATACCAATTAACATGGTATCAGAGCACAAATATCATTAACCCTACTTCCGCCTCTTGTTCTTCCATCTATGCCATTTTTTTCTCTTCTTCTTCTTTTTCTTCAATGAACCCAAAATCTCATCCATCAATCACAATTACAAACATACGAAATTTCATTCCATTTATACCGGAGATGGAGAGTGGACAGTACACTTCATGGGCAGAATTATTTCGCATTCATTGTAGGGCTTTTAAGGTTGCAAATCAAATTGATTCTAAAATCATCCCTCCCTCAAAACCTTCTTCTTCTTTAACCTCCACAGAAGCCGACAAAACCTTCACAAAAGCCGACAAAACTAAAGCATCAGAGTTTGAAGCATGGTCACGACTTGATGCTATTGTTCTCCAATGGATCTACAACACAATTTCAAATGATCTATTGCACACAATTTTGAAACCAAATATCACTGCTTGTCAGGCATGGACTGCCCTTGAAAACACTTTTCAAGATAACCAGAGCACCAGAGCTATCTACCTTGACAATAAATTTGTTTCTACAAGACTTGACCACCACCCTAACATCTCCTCCTACTGCCAAGCCATGAAGATGCTTGTTGATCATCTTGCAAATATGGGAAACCCGGTGTCCAACCAACGTCTTGTTCTTCAACTAATTGTTGGTCTCAACGAAAGCTATGAAGGAGTTGCGATGATCATCCAGCAAACAACATCCTTACCTGATTTTTATAAAGTTCACTCCAAACTCATCATGGAAGAAGCTCGAAAAGCTCATCAGGCTGCTGCCACTGCTGTATCCCTAACCGGAGGCGCCTCCGCTACCGCCTTGACTGCTTCAGCACCAATAACTCATTCAAATTATGTAGATAGCAGCCGCCTTAACCAACAACATGCATATCCCTCAACCTCTCGTGGATGTGGACGAGGTCGAGGAGGACGCGGTCGTGGACGATCTTCCAACGGGCGTGGACGCGGTACCAACAATAACCAACCCCAACAGACATACAATCAGGGGTCCCACCCGTATCAGCCATGGACTACCCGCCACCATGGGCTTTTCCCAACTATACAACATGGGCTTACCCCCCTTGCCCATATCCGACTCAGCAATATGGATCCTCCAGACCTCCATCAGTTGCCCCCGGGATTCTAGGCAATCGACCTCAGCAAGCCTATCCGACATCAGAAAGCAGCTACACACCAACTGATCTTGAACAAGCTTTTCACACAATGACACTACACCCAACTGAGCAGACTTGGTATGCTGATACCGGAGCAACATCACACATGACTCCCAACACAGGTAACTTCACATCTTATATCAATAATGGTCTTTCTCAGAATGTTATTGTCGGTAATGATTCCACTATTCCGATTCAAGGCACCGGTAATCAAACACTTCCTTACCCTCTCCCTCCTTTTATTCTGAAAAATGTTATTCACACCCCAAATTTCATTAAAAATCTTTTATCCATTCGTCGATTTACTATTGACAACAATGTTTCCGTAAAATTTGATCCGTTTGGTTTTGATGTGAAGGACTTCCAGACGCGGACTCCAATCCTTCGTTGCAATAATACCGGTGCTCTCTACCCTTTCAAGCTCCGGTCAAATTCCCAAGTTACACAACCTTCTACTTTTGCTGCAATTACCAGAGACCTCTGACATCATCGCCTTGGCCACCCGGGCGCGGATGTTTTATCTTCTTTACGTTCTACTTTAAATTTTCCTAGATCTAAACTTTTATCTTCTGTTTGTCATTCTTGTGTGTTGGGTAAACATATAAAGCTTCCTTTTATTAATTCTCAGTCAATTACTCATTTACCTTTTGACATTATTCATACGGATCTATGGACCTCCCCTATGTTAAGCTCTAGTGGTCACCGCTACTATATTTTATTTTTGGATGACAAAACCAATTATTTATGGACTTATCCTCTAGCAAAGAAGTCCCAAGCTTTTTCAATCTTCATCCAAATTCTTTGCTATGGTCAAAACACAATTCCATTACACTATTAAAACCATACAATGTGATAATGGTCGTGAGTTTGATAACCAACAATTTCACAATTTTTGCTCTCAAAATGGCCTTCAATTCCACTTTTCTTGTCCGCACACATCTCCTCAAAATGGAAAAGAGGAACGCAAAATATGATCCATTAATAATACCCTTCGCACTCTTCTGTCCACTCAAACGTACCCATGCATTTTTGGCACCATGCACTCCAACATGCTACGTACCTGTTAAACATTCTTCCCAGCAAACTTATTACCAATCTCACCCCTACACATCTTCTATATAATCTTCAACCCTCATATTCACACCCCCGTACCTTCGGTTGTTTGTGTTACCCACTTACTCCATCTCCTACCATCCACAAACTCCAAAAACGCTCCCAACCTTGCATTTTCTTAGGCCACCCATCAATCATCGAGGGTACAAATGTTTTGACATTCAAAAATAAAACCATTATTATATCCCGCCATGTAATATTCTATGAAACTATTTTTCCCTATCTTAACCTATCATCACCGACCCCTACAACCCAACTATCATCGGACCCACACCCGTTAATGTGGTCCGATGTCACACCCCCAAACCAAGGATGGCGGAAACGTCCGGGGGTGGAGGACTTCATGTATAGTATCATAACAACATCTTGCAATAGTGATCAAAGTAAACACAACCAACATATATATAATCGAAAGAGTTACATCATTGTATGAATTACATGTTTCCAAACCAATTACAATATGTTGACAAAACGTGAAATGTTTGACGCCTTAACGTCCCATCCTCAAAAGCACTTGGTTACCTGTTTAGTGATTTCCTGAGAATACAAGTAGTTTTGAAAAAGTGTCAACACAAAGGTTGGTGAGTTCATAAGTTTTTGTATGCAATTATGAAAACCTTTTCTTGTAAGAGTAGTGTCAGTTCCAGAAAAATCCAATATTTTCCTTAATGTGTAAATGTAGTCTTAAAACCCAAAGACCGGAATGTACGAATGATTTGTCATATTTATAGTAAAACAATGTAAGTTTTAAATTGACATAATCTCATTTGATTTCAATGAAATCCCCGTAAATTCCTATGTTTGTTAATACTTTCTGTGAGTTATTATAACCATGCTATGACCTAGTTGGCCTGAAACGACGTTCTTCAGGCGTCAGAAATGTTATGACATTTGTCACCCCAGACCTGCCGGTCTAACTGTTGCATGCAGTTAAGGTGTGGG